TGCTTTTGTTCTTATGTAGTCAATGTTTATCACTAGAAAAGTATGTATTGACCAGAGATTCTATCACTCAAAAATTTGTTTAGGCTTAAGATTTTTTCCAGTTCTATTGGAACTTAACTGACAGACACCATAGATAAATTTTAGGTGTAGAGTATGATAGATCAGTTTATATCTATTGTGATATGACTCAATTTTTTTAAATTTTTTTAATTTAAATTTTATTTTTATATTCCCCATACAATTGCAACCCCCTTATTTTGACCACAATCCCTCCTTTCCCTACCCCCCCCCCCCTTAGAGTGTCTCTGGTTCATAGTTGTTTGTTAATTTTGATATTTTCTTTCTTATAGTTATTCTTTTTCCTGGTCCCTTATTTAGGTTTTCTAGATTCCTGCTATGAGTGAGACCATTCGGTATTTTTCTTTTTCTTTCTGGCTTATTTCGCTGAGCATGATCCCTTCCAGCACCATCCATGTTGCTGCAAATTGCATGTGTTTATCTTTTTTGAATGATAAGTAATATTCCATGGTATCACATCTTCTTGATCCAGTCATCTATTTTTGGGCATTTGGGTTGTTTCCAAAGCTTAGCTATTGTAAACAGTGCTTCTATAAACATAGGGGTGCAGGTGCTCTTTGGAATTGATGTTTCTGTGTCCTTTGGGTAAATACCTAGGAGTGGAATTGCTGGATCATATGGAAGCTCTATGTTTAGTGGGTCCAGAAATCTCCACACAGTTCTCCATAGTGGTTGGACCAGTTTGCACTCCCACCAACAGTGCAGGAGAGTTCCTTTTTCTCCACATCCTCGCCAACATTTGTTGTTGCTAGTTTTTTTTAATATGTGCCATTCTCACTGGTGTAAGATAAGCAGTGATAGTGAAGGCAAAGATAAACAGCTGGGACCACAAAAAATTAAAGAGCTTCTGCACAGCAAAAGAGACAATAACAAAAACAAAGAGAAACCCCACCGACTGGGAGATCATTTTTGCACACAACACTAATGATAAAGGACTGATCACAAAAATCTGCAAAGAGCTGATGAGACTCAACAACAACAAAGAAAATAATCCAGTCAAAAAATGGGCAGAGGAGCTAAAAAGAAACTTCTCTGAAGAGGAAATGCAAATGGCCAACAGGCATATAAAAAAATGTTCAACATCACTTGTAATCAGGGAAATGCAAATCAAAACTACAATGAGATATGACTCAATTTTTAAAAGGTCTGGAATAAGACATAGTCCTAGAAGTAAGTCACTTTTTTGTTGCCTTTTCATTCTGTTTTTAATTGTGTGAAATATTTTTTTAAAGATTTATTTATTTATGATTACAAGAACTGGGGTGCAGGCCACAGGTGTGGGAGGTGAGAGGATTCACCAGAGACAGAGCAGGGAACAGAACAGGCAGATAGACTGAAGTACACTGCTGAGGGGAGCAGCGGGTGAGTCAGGAGAGGTCTGCTGTGCCATGTGGGTAGCTCCCTGGCCAGTGATCGAACTCGCACTGTAGAGGCTACGGACAGCTTCACAGTGCTGCACTCAACCCCTTGCACCAGCAGGGGGGCCCCAATTGTATGAAATATTCATAATGAAATGAGCCAGCCTCCCCAATTTTGAGTTGTGTTAGTGGATTCACACTATGTGTGACCCTCCTCAGAACGCTTTTCATCTTGAACAGCTGTGACCTGTATACAGAAGCACCCACCTGCCCCCTTGGTCCCTCCCACCAGTTCAGGACCATTTTTGACCCTGTAGCCAATGTTCTTGTCCTTCTGTACATTCTGTACTCCTTGACCCTCCTTTCAGTTCAAGCCCCAGAGGTTCATTGCATCAGCAGAGAGCTGACCAACAGAAAATCAAGAAAGATCATTCTCCTAGGACGGGCAAGATTCAAATTGAAACCTGGAGGAGGAGAGAAGAGAGCAGCCCCCAGGCATACCCCACAGGTGGGGGAGATGGGCGATGGCCCCAGGTAAGGCCTGCTGCCCCGGACGCTGCATTAATGCTCTGAGGGCGATGAGGGAAGCAAGAGGTTTCTTGGGTGCCAGTAGGTTCCCAAGAAGGGTCTGGTCCTCAGGCCTCCTGGGGTCTAGCCCCAGCAAGATAAGGGCATCTATGGGCACCCTGAACAGGACTGAGCAATTGCCCAGTGATGACCCAGCACTGGGTGGGGGGGGAATGCTGTAGGGTAAGTAATTATCAGGCTTTTCTGCCCTCCCACCATTAGCATTAATGATGGTTCCCTGTGGTCCTGAATGCATGCCTGATGGAGGGCACCGGGAGTGGGGTGTGGGCATATGTAGGTGCGTACACCTGGGCTGAGACTGGGCTTCTAAGGGTGGCATCACGGGAACCAGCAGAATTAAAGAGAAGCAGAAGAGAGAGAACGAGACCACGAGAGAATGCCAGAGAGCCTGGGAAGAGTGAAGATTCGCTGGGGTCTGTGTACCTGGTAAATCCCAATAAAAGCCTGAAAAAGCCACCGAGGGCTCCAGAACTCTCCATTACCCATCTGTGTAGGTTCATAGAGATCCTGCTCTGTCCCTTATTGCCCCTACAGATGCCCATTGGGGTCACCACAGTCACTCCAACCCAAAGACACTGTAGGGTCAGGAATGGGCCAGAGCAGGTTTTCTTTGATCCAGCAGACGGGGTAAAGGAAGAGTCAGAGTCCTCAGTGGTTTTGCAGGTTTTTATTGGGGTTTACCAGGTACACAGCAGGCAGCAGTACTGGAGGGCCGGGAGGCTGGCAGGCCTCTGGCCTCCAGCAAGTCTTCACTCTATCTGGGCTCTCCGGCGTTCTCTCTCTCTCTCTCTCGGCTTCTGCTGCTTCTCGGCTTCTTTCTCGGCTTCTACTGGCGTCCCCATGACGCCGCCCTTAAAAGCACAGTCTTGGCCCAGGTGAATCCCATCTACATATGCCCACACCCTGCTCCAGGTGCCCGCCATCAGGCATGCATTCGGGACCACAGGGTTCCCTCATCTATCCTAATGGCGGGAGGGCAGAAAAGCCTGATACTTTTACCTTGCCCTACAGACACCTTGTCACCTTATAGGATACCTGGGAAGCCTGGAAAGGCCCCAGCTTGCTACCGCTGTTCCCACCAACCTGACAAATGAGTGTTTGCATTAAAATTTTAATGGAATGATAGGAAAAGAAATTTGTTAGTTGTTATATTTCTTCTACCTCTGAGTGGGGTCCTGAGACTTGGAGCCGCTCTGGTCCATTGTCCCCCATATATTGGAGGCTCCGGACGCCAGCAACAACATCTGGCACTGCTAACACTCTACCTGACCTGCCCACATATCCCGCCTCGGTGCTCAGGCATCACACTCAATGGGCACAACAGACATGGCTGGCGATTAACTCCGTGAGCAGAAACGGCAAGTTCATTCACTTACTCACATCAGTGAACAGTAATAAGCAAGTGATTACTTGAGCACTTGTGTGCCAGACACTGTTTTCAGCAATTGAGAGTCAAATTCCTACCCTGATGGGTTTGAATTCCAAGGGAAGGAGACAACTGTCAAGAAGTTAAGTGGGAACCAGTACTTCACCCCAAAGTCTGTTCCTTTCCTTGTGCCACCTGCTTTCAACAGGGAGTTGTGTGTGCCTGGCACCAGCCTACCCAGACCCGGTGGGAAACTTCAAGCATCCCAATTACAGTAAATATCCAAGGTCATTTCCTAAAATGAGAGGGAGAATCAATAAATGAGTTTTGTGGATTTTTTCTTCATATTTCCTTATCCAGCTAGTTTGAAGCTGTGTAGAATAAACTACATGACAGATTGGTCAATAGGACTCAACTTTAGGTCATACCTGGATGACCTTTGCCCACCCCACCTCTCCCCCACGACCCCCAGTGGGCCATTCAGCATCCAGGGTTATCTTTGAGGCTCCTCCCCTGTCTCACACAGCCCAGGTGCTCAGGGAAATTCAATGACTTCCCAGTTCTGATCTTGGGGCTAATTGGTCTAAATGAACTTGGCCCAAAACTAATCAGAATCATCTCCCCCACCTAAACCCAGGGATGCTGGCTACAAGCGGGCACAAGGCCTCAGTTGTCTGATGGGATGGAAGCTCTGGAATAGCTCTAGAATTTGTGCCCTGCTGGGCACAAATGGGAAGCCGGGGCCTGAGAGTCATTGGCAGTCCTGTTAGAGCAACAAGAGGCAGAGCATGAGCTGCTGAGGGAGATGAGCAGTGCCATACCTAAGCCCCCTCCTCAGAGGGGCTGGGCTTAGAGACCTACTTCTGATGGACAGGATGTGGTGGAAGTCATCCAAGGCTTCTCATAAAACTATTGGATCACATCTACCTGGCTCTTTTGCTCTTGGGTGCTTTGTCTGGGGAAAGCCGGCTCCATGTTGTGAGGAGAACACATGGGAAAGTGCTGAGACAGCTTTTTTCCCTGGACTACAGCACCCCCATGGGAGCTCAGCCAGAACCACTCAAATGAACTGCTCCATAATTCCTAACCCATAGAAACAAAGAGATAACAAATGGTTTTTGTTATTGCCAACCACTAAGTTTTTAGGTAATTTGTAACACAGTGATGGATAACCAATAAAGGAGATCAAGACAAAATCATTAAGTTGCTGGATCAACCCTCTCCTGAAGTTAAATAAAAACCAATCAGTTAAGTGAGTCCGTAGAGCACCTCTGTTGTTGAAGCTAATTTGAGTTGGATTTTCTATTTTTCAATCAAAAATATCATAGCAGATACCTTTCTAATCCTCCCCCTTAGTCTCAGGCTTCTGAAAGGAACTAAAAAAAAAAAATGTGGATTAACTGACCTATTTAACTTCAGCTCTAGAATCTTCATTCCAGCTATTCCTGCTTATAACTGTGGCATTAACATTGATGGAAGCAGATGCTGCTGCAATCTGCAGCCAGAGGATTCATTCTGTTGCTTAACGTGTAATAAATGGAGATGGGAAGGTAGTTTACACCTGAATATATAAAGAGTCTATAGGTGATAACCCTTAAATGGAACATCACTGTAGATATTGGTTGTTATTTGCCTTCCCAAAGCAGCAGCTAAAGAAAAGGAGAGAGGGGAGATGTTAATTCCCGCTTGACAGTGAGCCTCTTAGAGTTCTTCAAACCAAAATAAGAGCAAACTATGTAGTGGTTACTGCAGTGGTGCTGAAAATCCAGGTGTGACCTTTCTGTTTCTTTTGAATAAAACTTCTTGTAATTCATACACATACACACACACACACCAAACAGAAGACTGAAAAACAGATCTGTGTGTGTGCGTGCGTGTGTGTGTGTGTGTGTGTGTGTGTAGCAAAGAGGAAAGATCACAATAAAAGCATATAGCATGTAACTCACTTTGGTTGACATCACTCAGAATGATCTGGAAAGAATAAGGTTGACAGTAGATTCTGAAAGGCAAGAAATCAAAGTTAAAAGGAAGTGCTAGATGAAATACATCTCCAAGAGCCCTGGGCATCCTCCCTTCTCTGAGCAAAACTAAGATTGCCCAATAACAGTTGGGGCACATCAAGTATCAGCTGTGGATGATTTACGGCGTAGACATGGACATGGTCATGTAAAATTGACAGATCTATGGTCCAGGAATACCTGATAAGATTATCAGTAAATTATATCTCATGCCCACTTCCTGCCTTATTTTTATCTTGAGTAAGACTATCTGGATTATTGACTATTCAGAGAAAAATTTGCAATTCACTTCCTAAATTTTATCACAGGATTTCATCACATTAAGTCTGATTTCTTGTTTCACAATTTTTTTTTTTTTTTTTTTTTTTTGGGAAGCGAACAGTTGATGTTCGGCTTTGGAGATCTCACTTCTACACAGATCTCACTTCCCTCCTAACTCCTACAAAACCCCAAACAAGTCTTGGTCTCTTGACCAAACATCAGCATTTTCATCTGTAATATTATTGTTTTGTTTTTAGTAATAAAAACTAGCACTCATTTTAAACTCATTTCTCAGCATTTTCTGTATTTTAATTCATTCAATCCTATCATTGCATGTGTTCTCTTATCCCAAAACTTGGCATGTAGTAGGACAGCAATTTGAAAATAAGATCAAAGCATAATTACCAATGACAAAAATAAATACCAAATTATCTAACTGTAACATATCTCACACATTTAGGTGATATGAGTCTAAGAAATATTTTTTGTGCATTTGCATTCTGTCACCACACGCACAAACACACCTATGCATATGAAGGAGCATGATTTCTAAAAATCAATGTATTGTTGCCTTTTCTCTAATGTCCACTTCTATCCAGCGCACCTGGTTTCACAGGGGACATCAGAGGGACATTGTACTTCAAAGACAAATGCCATCTTAATTGGACAGTTCTCTTTTTAACATCTACCATTTCCTGTTGGTCTAGCTCAAAGCACTCAATATTTTCTTATAAACAAGGGAAGGAAAAAAAGTAAACCTGTTCAAAATCGACATCTCTAAGCTACTGGGCATGTTTGCTATAACCGTGTCAAGCCCGCGTCTACCTGGGTGCAATGACATACTTGGTACTCGCCATTTTAGACACAGGGCTGAGAGCCATGTCCCTGCTTTGTCACCTGCATCACTGTGCATGACACCCAAAACCATACTGTCAGCCACAAACTCATGTCTTCACCCACAGCAGTAGAACCCTGACTTGTGGAGATGACCCAAGTTCTGACTGCTGTGCCCACATTCTCTGTTGGGACACTGAGAGGTTATCTTGCTTTTTTTTGACTGGCTTTACACAAAGCACTGAGAAAGGCAATGGAATAGGCCATCTTATCTTTGAATTCAGAAGATGCACCAAAGCAATGTTGTGAATCCAGGGGAGAGATGTCAGGGCTCAGGAGGAAGCAGATTTGTAGATTTGTGTCTCTGAGAAGCAGGGGTTCAAATATCAGCTCTTCCACCTGCTCACAGGCTTCTCAGAGACTGTTTTCTTTTCTTAAAGATTTATTTTATTTGTGCATACAAGACCTGGGGTGTAGGCCAGAGGTGCAGTGCATGAGAGGGTTCACAAGAGACAGAGTGGGGAGCAGAACAGGCAAATCTACTGAAATACACTACTGAGGGGAGCAGCAGGCGAGACAGGACAGGTCTGTTGTGCTATGTGTGTCAGTTCCCTGGCCGGAGATAGAAATCATGCTGCAGAGGCGGCCAATAGCGTCATAGTGCTGAGACTTAACCCTTTGCGTTATTAGCAAGGCCCCACGGAGCCTGTTTTCTTGTTAGGACTGCATGGACAATATTTCTATATTCCCTGAAACATAGCAAACTCTGAATAAATGGCGGAAGAAGCCATAAGGTGATAACAATCTTTGCCACTCATTTATCTTTCCCTAAGCTCCAAATTTATACAGAAGATGAACCATCTCCACCTGAGTGTACCACGGGCCTGGAACACAACTGGATAAATCACACTCACCATCTATTCTGAAACTTGCACAAACTGGAACCCTGGATCATCATACCATCACCCCCTCCCTCCCCATCTTCATCAATTCAATAACTCAGTCAAGGAATTCACTGGACATAGGATTTCAACTTTGCTTCACAAATTCAGAATTTTCCTCCTCCCACTGAAAATATAGAAAAGCAAGATAGAGAGAAAAAAATGCTTATAAATTTTCAGGGAAATTGAAAGACAAATGTGATGTAAGACATCAAATTATGTAAAACTGTCAAAAAAAAACAGTGAAGATTGGGCAGAAGATATACAACAGGAGAAAGAAAACTTAGTGGGCGACTGGAGCATCTAGTACTGGAATATCTCATAGAAGTCCAAACAAGACATTTATTAAAAGAAAAAGACAGCCTAAAACACAAAACTCTCCCTGTTTTCAAGAGCAGGTGCAGAGAAGTAGAGCAAGCAGAGCATTCGGTTTAGTCTGGTTGGGACAAAAATGAGGTGAAAGCCATTGCTGTAGGAAGTAAGCTGTCTCTGAGGCAACAGAAAATGGGAAACCTTTGGTTTGTGAGATCAGAAAGGTCACCAAAACCCTGACCCCTTAAGCCTTTCCATGCCACCCATCACATCCACCTAATGCTAATCCACCTAACGGAGGAAAATCAAGCATACCCATTTATGAGTGATAAAAAGCAGCAGCCAAGGCTTCTACAGAAAAATAATAGAAAGAAAAATAGGAGAATGTTGGCAAAACTTAAAAAGAAAACCCCTCGCCAATAATGACATTATCACAGAGCTAGTTAAAGCTATGACCAAGCATTTTGTCAAAAATTTTTTTTAAAAAATGGGAGGCAATTAAGTCTCCAAAGAAAGATCACAGAGAAGAAACAATACTCTCATACAGGTTCATACAGGTGTTTAAGGATATAATTCAAAGACAATCATTATGATATGCACCTATATGCATGAGCTATATTATGTTACAAGCTAAAATTGAAAGGAAGGAAAGAAGAGATAAGAAAAGGGAGGACTGCTAATCATGGTAGAGAATGAAGATGCTATGGCCTCCCTGGTGACCTAGGGGTTAAGTCTCAGAGCTATCACCACTGTAGCATGAGTTTGATCCTCAGCCAGGGAGCTACCCACATGGTGCAGCAGACCTCTCCTGTCTTGCCCGCTGTTCCCCTCAGTAGTGGATTTCAGTCAATCCACCTGTTCTGTTCTCCACTCTGTCTCTGGTGAATCCTCTCACCTTCGACACCTCTAGTCTGTGCCCCAGTTCTCTACACACACACACACACACACAAAAGAATGAAGATGGTATTAATTTGTCTTTCTGATAGCTGAATAGTATTCCATTGTGTACAAAGGCCACATTTTCTTGCATCTTCTTGATCCAGTCATCTACTTTTGGGCATTTGGGTTGTTTCCAGGTTTTACCTATTACAAATAGTGCTGCAATAAACATAGGAGTGCAGGTATTCTTTTGAATCAATGTTTTTGTGTCCTTTGGGTAGATCTCCAGGAATAGAAGCAACATGGATGGAGCTAGAAGGAATTATGCTCAGTGAAATAAGTCAGAAGGAAAAAGAAAAATATCAGATGGTTTCATGTATAGGAGGAGCCAAATAAGGCATCAGTGGAAAAAATAATAACAGTACAAAACAAAAAACAGACAACTATAAATGAGAGACATCCTGCAGGGGAGGAGGAGGGAGAGGAATCAGAGGGAGGGAGGGAGGAGTTCAAGGGACTGAGGTGATGGTGCACGGGGTGCATTAGTGGAGGAAATTCTATGGAGAATATACCTGAGGGGGGGAGAAAGAAAACATTGTTTAAAAATGAACAAAGAGGTAAAATATAAAAACAAACAAACAAACAAATAAATAAATAAATAAAAGCAGTATTCCCCACAAAAAAAGAATGAAGATCATGGTTTCTAGAGAACTAAGAACTAAAGGTGCCATGTAAAGTTACAAATATAAAAGTTATGATTAGCCCCAAAGAGAAACCTTTTTAAATATCAGAAAACCAAAGCAAGCAAAACAGATCACATAACAGAGGACTTTAAGAAACAAACAAAGATTGAATACACAATGATATTGCAGAACTATACCAAATAGGTGCCATGTCAAATGTAAATGGGCTGGAATGATTTGTCAGAAAGATTTTCAGGTTGGTTCACAAAGCAAAGGCCACTCCAGGTTATGTTTGAGAGAAATAGAAGAGCAAGTTGTTCAGCAAAATTTGAAAACAGAAGACTACCCAAAAGCACTCCAGTTGTAAGCAGAAGGAAGTAAAGGCCATGTTCTTACTATCTGAGAGGGTAGACTTCAGAACAAGTGCTTAAAGGGAGATGTAGAAAGGCAATTTAGAGTGCGAAAGGGAGCAGTTCATGGTCATGAATACCCTCGCATCAGATGACATAGCTGCAAAAAGGAAGACGCAAAATTATGGCAGGCATAGAGAAACAAGCTGTTCCAGTAGCTGCAGGAGACAATTCAACACTGTCGGGCCATTGCAGACCAAGTGGACAAAAACTTGGAATCTAGCAGCCCAGGATAGTAATTAATAAGGCAGGCTGAACTGAGTCATACAGATTACGTACCTCAACAATAGATCATTTATTTTCTTTTCAAATGCCCATGAAATATTAATAAAAGAATTGATCACATTCTCTGCCACAAAGGATCCGTGATAAATTCTTATAAACCAGAAACAGCATAGATAATATTCTCTGATCAGAATGTAATAAAAATAGAAATGAATAACAAAATTAGAGAATATTTTTTTCCACCTAAAAATTAAAAATAAACAAAAAATCACTCTCAGACATATTCTAAAAGTTAGGGAGGAAACACAAACCCCAAATTTAAGAATTCTAAGATTACACAATAGAGGGATCAGAATTATGAACGTAGCTAAAAGACATTTCAAGGAAAAAGTTGTCAATTCAAAAATATAAGTCATAAAAATTCAATGACTAAAAC